CCCAAAGACCCAAACGTTCAGTGTTGCAACAGTCAAACTTCTTTTATGCAATTTTTTTTAAAAACAAGATTAAACCTGAAAAAAATAAATGTGTTTGATAGATGAAAAAGGAATCAATGCAAATATTGTACGTTTTAAAAAAAAGACCAATTAAAACGAGCAATTCTGGAAGAACCTTTCTTGGCTGATTTCTTACATCTTGCACAATCTGTTTTTGCAGAGGATGTGTTTGGGTCGACTCTCAGCTATTACCACTCATAATCTGTGAAACTGACAGGGTTCTAGGCATTATTGTGTTTGCTAAAGTCAGCTTGAGATGAATTTTGATTTAGAGGTTTGTGCGTCTTTCACTGAAACCTGTACACTGATTGATGAGATATTTTGCTAWCAGACAAGCAGTTATTTTAACCATGAAACACACGTGAAATGGTCGAGGTGAAAGAATACTCAGTCCTCACAAATCAGTCTGTGGTTATAAAATAGAAGCCATCTGATGCCATGTGGWTGTTGAATTCAACTAAAAAAGAGGGACAGTCTGGACTGAAATGCTGTTGCTTAGTAGAAATGTTTTGCCTCTGCCAACATTTTTAACTCCCTGTCCCGTCAGTCCTTCCAACATCCTACGTTCAACATGTTGAAGTCTAAAGATGAATATTCTTGGTTCTGTTTTGAGCTAATACTCCAAAAGCTATGGTGAAAAAAATACAAAAAATAAAGACTTGTAGCTCTGAGTTTCAACACAGCTTGAAGGTTTYTATAATAGATGACGGTAAGAACGCGAACTCACGAGCCCAGCTCTGTTAAATATGACAACCTCATCTTGTAATGGCATAGCTTTTGGCTGAAGAGCGTTCAACTGGTGCGTTTGGAGGTTTTGCAATCAAAATGAAATAAAGGCCATTAAAGAACAGGATTCTCAAGTACCGCCTGGGAGAAAGGCCCTGAGGCGGATTGCAAACAGTGACAAGAACGTCCTTTAAGGTGATATAGGTCCCCCTCTTGCTTGAACACACGTCCCATTTGAACTCGAGCGATTCGCAGCATTTGTGAGCTCGCCAGTCGTACTTTGAGAAACGTCCAGCTCCCCGCAGCAGTTAGAGCGTGGAAAGCCCTCCAGTTTGTGGACSATCTGTTGCCATGGATACCCGAGCACAGGAGCTCGTTTACCCTCAGACAAGCAAACGGAGCCGAGCACGAGCCCCTCCTCCTCCTCCACCCCCTCACTGGGTCCCCTAGCTCGTTCGTTTGCATCATGATTCACACCAAAACTTTCCTGGAAGGGCCGTGATTTGTTGTTTATTTTTTTTATTTTTATTAATTATTTTTCTTTTAAATCACCAGTGGAGAATCGTTTCTTTGTTAAGCGACTGAGCCTTCTTAAACGCTCGTGTTTCTGAGCTGCAGAGCGGTGCAGACGCAGGGACGGGCTCCACAGGCGATGCAGTTGTCAAGGCCTCGCTGTGGCGTCTGCCCTCTGAAGAACAATCATGTCATCAAGTGTTTGAGTCACACCATGTTCCGGTTTCGGCTCAGAGGACTGTAAGATGCTGCAAAAAGATGTGACGAGTGGGATTTATGGAAACACAGACAACTTGGATCAGGGCTATTCAACTAAATTGCTCCAGGGGCCACAGTTAATGCAGACCAACAGCTCAGGGGCCGAATATCCAGCAATTAAAGTTGTTATGTAAATAAACTAAGTATTACAAAGATCTGTCTTTGTAATTGTTTATTTTGCTGTATTTAATCACGAAAACATACAGAGCACTACTTTATAAATGTAWGATAAAACAAAACAAAAAAGAGAAATATATTATGCCTCTTATTTACCACAAAATATTTTGACATCTCTGACTTGCAAAATTTTTAAACCAATTTTATTTTCGCTTTCATAGTTTTATCTTCAACTGCTTGTAGTTTTTTAAAAAAGAACGAGGTCCCGGATACAAGCGGCCGAAATGAGTTTCCTCCGCAGGGTGGCTGG